TGACTGCCTGCCCCAAAGTCCTTGCCTTTCACAACTAGGCTTTGTTGCTTTTGTAATCTCCCATGTTTACTGTTGTCTTTCAAAAACTCTTCCCGGCATATTGTTAGAGACATTCTGTCCCTGTTACTCTGCCTCCTTCAATAATACTGGATCTGTTCGTAAGGCTGATAATAATAGTAATGTTAGTAACGATAGCAAGAGTAATTAATAATCAGTGGTCTTTCTTTTTTTTTTTTTAGAAATGAGGTCTTGCTCATCTCTAAAATGAGCAATGCCACTGCAGTCCAACCTGGGCAACAGAGCAAGACCCTGACTCAAAAAAAAAAAAACCCTAAATAAACCAACAAACTAAAGGCACAGATAATTACAAGCAAGATTTTTCACCTGTGTGAGGAGCATTAGAAAGTCATGAAGAAGAAAGGATAATTCTTTTCCATATGAGACTGTCTTGTACATGGTAGGGTATTTAATATACCAGTCTCCCATTCTCTAAATGCCCAGGTTGGTCTCGAACTCCTGGGCTCAAGCAATCCTTCGCTTCAGCCTCCTGAGTAGCTGGGATTACAGGTGCATACCACTGTACCTGGCTTTTTTTTCTTTTTTTTTTTGAGACAGAGTCTTGTTCTGTTGCCCAGGCTGGAGTGCAGTGGTGTGATCTCAGCTCACTACAACCTCCACCTCCTGGGACGATTCTTGTGCCTCAGCCTCCCGAGTAGCTGGGATTACAGGCGTCCACCACCACGCCTGGCTAATTTTTTGTGTTTTTAGTAGAGACAGGGTTTCACCATGTTGGCCAGGCTGGTCCCGAACCCCTGACCTCAGGTGATCCACCTGCTTCGGCCTCCCAAAGTGCTGGGATTATAGGCATGAACCATCACACTGGCCTGTACCTGGCTCTTCATTGGTCTTTACTATATATAGACTGCTGTGGTAAACACTTTATTCCACCTAAACTCCCTTTTTTTTTTTTTGAGACAGAGTCTCGCTCTGTCGCCCAGGCTGGAGTGCAGTGGCACGATCTCGGCTCACTGCAAGCTCCGCCTCCAGGGTTCACGCCATTCTCCTGCCTCAGCCTCCTGAGTAGCTGGGACTACAGGCGCCCACCACCACGACTGGCTAATTTTTTGCATTTTTAGTAGAGACGGGGTTTCACCGTGTTAGCCAGGATGGTCTCGATCTCCTGACCTTGTGATCCACCTGCCTCGGCCTCCCAAAGTGCTGGGATTACAGGCGTGAGCCACCGCGCCCGGCCTAAACTCCCTTTTTTGACCTCTCATTCCCCTGAGTGACTGACGGCCTCAGAGTCTCATCAATGCACCTTCAATTTCTTTGTCTATCACTTTCTTGTCACTATTCATGTCCTGCAAACTGGCCTCCTTCTGGTCCACCCCAGGGCCTTTGCACATGCTGTTGTTAGAAAACACTCTACTCCCTTCTCAGATTGCTCCTCTGAAAACCTGCCCTGAGACCCTGGGTGCAGTTTCTTGGTCATATTTCTCAGAATGCCTCAGACCACTTGACCTGTAGTTACATGACTGAACTCACAGCAAGAGCTTAGAATATAGTAGGCACTTAGTAAATACTAACTGAATGAATGCATAAACCCATAGGAGAAGACTGAAGTGAAAGAATGACCTAGAACAACAGCATTCAGGGAGGTGTTATAGAACTATGTGGAAACCCAATAACATAATGATTGAGGGGCACCGTAGGCACTTAGAGAATGGTAGGCAGTTATACTAAATACCTTACCATGTACAGGACAGTCCCATATGGGAAAGGCTTATCTTTTCCCCTTCGTGACTTTCTAATGTCCCTCAAAGAGTTGAAAAATCTTGCTTGTAATTACCTGTGCTTTTAGTTTGTTTGGGCTTCTTTCTTTTTCTGTTTATTTATTTATTTTGAGACGGAGTCTTGCTCTGTCACCCAGGCTGGAGTGCACTGGCACGATCTCGGCTCACTGCAAACTCCACCTCCCGGGTTCACGCCATTCTCCTGCCTCAGCCTCCCCAGCAGCTGGGACTACAGGCACCTGCGACCACACCCGGCTAATTTTTTTGTATTTTTAGTAGAGACGGGGTTTCACCGTGTTAGCCAGGATGGTCTTGATCTCCTGACCTCGTGATCTGCCCGCCTCAGCCTCCCAAAGTGCTGGGATTACAGGTGTGAGCCACCACGCCTGGCCTTTTTATTTTATTTTTTGAGACAAGGACTTGTTCTGTTGCCCAGCTTGGAATGCAATAGCATAATCATAGCTCACTGTAATCTTGAACTCCTGGGCTCAAGCAATCCTCCTGCTTCAGCCTTCCAAGTAGCTAGAACTACAGGCACCTGCCACCACACCTGACTAATCAAAAAAAATTCTTTTGTAAAGATGGAGGTCTCATGTTGTCCAGGTTGGTCTCAAACACCTGGCCTTAATTGATTTTCCTTCCTCAGCCTCCTAATGCACTGGGATTACAGGTGGGAGCCACTGCACCTGATCCTGTGCCTTTAGTTTAAACCTAACTCTATTTTACATAAGAACATAACATATTTTTTGTATGTTTTTAATATACACTGCATTTTCCTGCAATGCAACTACTAAATAAATAGAAGAAAGACTAGACTCTTTTGTATATGGAACTTTACCAAGAGGTGTTCAACATTGTGGAACATCTTTTTTTTTTTTTTTGAGACAGAGTCTTGCTCTGTTACCCAGGCTGGAGTGCAGTGGCACAATCTCAGCTCACTGCAAGCTCCGCCTCCCGGGTTCACACCATTCTCCTGCCTCAGCCTCCCGAGTAGCTGGGACTACAGGCGCCCGCCACCACGCCTGGCTAATTTTTTGTATTTTTATTAGAGACGGGGTTTCACCTTGTTAGCCAGGATGGTCTCGATCTCCTGACCTCGTGATCCACCCGCTTCGGCCTCCCAAAGTGCTGGGATTACAGGCGTGAGTCACCGCGCCCGCGCCCGGTCCGCTTTTATTTATTTTTAAAAGATGAGGTCTCATTATGTTGTGCAGGCTGGTGTTGAACTCCCAGGCTCAAGCGGATCATCCCACCTTGACCTCCCAAAGTGCTGGGACTACAGGCATGAGCCACCACAACCCGCTGCATCCAAAACTTTGAAACTCTGCTCCCCCTTTAATTCTTAGGGCCCAGAGTGGCTTTTTTTTTTTTCTTTTTAATTTTTTTTTTGAGACAAGGCCTTGCTCTGTCGCCCAGGCTGGACTGCAGTGGTGCGATCATAACTCATCACAGCCTAGAAATCCTGGATCCAGTGACCCTCCTGCCTCAGCCTCCCAAGTAGCTGGGACTACAGGTGCATGCCACCACATGTTTAATTTTTTATATTTTATAGACATGGGGTCTGCCTCTATTGCCCAGACTGGTCTCCAACTCCTGGTATCAAGTGATCCTCCTGCCTTGACCTCCCAACAGAGTGGCTTTTCAAACTCCCGAAGACTAACATTAGGTAAAGACAGTTGGCTGAAAATGGCAAAAAATGGTCTAAATTTACTGAGCACTTATTATGTGTCAACTGTTCTTCCAGGCCCTTTGCATACATTACTTCATTCAATCCTGGCAATGACCCAATTAGATCCCACTATTTCCGTTATGTGAGGCCCAGAGATATGAAGTCACTTTCCAGAAGTCACACAGCAAGGGCATGGAAGACTATATCATTCTGGACGACAGTGGGGCTTCTCTTAATAGTTTCCCTGAAATGTTCAAGGCCTCTGGTGCCAGATAGCCTGGGTTCAAGAACACTGGTTAGATGCATGACCTTGAGGAGCTCACTCAATCTCTGTTTCCCCATCTGTGAAGCCTCTAATCCAAACACTTTGGGAGACTGAGGTGGGAGGATTGCTTGAGGCCAGGAGTTGGAGACCTGCCTGGGCAACATAGCCAGATCTCGTTTCTACTAAAGGTAAAAAAAATTAGGCTGGGTGCGGTGGCTCAAACCTGTAGTCCCAGCACTTTAAGGAGGTTAAGGCAGGCAGAATGCTTGAGTTCAGGAGTTTGAGACCAGCCTGGGAAACAGTGAAACTCTCCAAAACACTGTCTCTACAAAAATTAGCCAGGCATTGTGGTACATTCCTGTGGTTCCAGCTACTCGTGAGGCTGAGGCAGTAGGACGGCTTGAGCCTGGGAGGTAGAGGCTGCAGTGAGCTATGACTGTGTCACTGCACTCCAGTCTGGGCAACAAGGCGAGACCTTGTGTCAAAAAAACAAAAAAATACAGCATTTTTTTTTTTTTTTTTTTTTTTTTTAGACAGGGTCTTGCTCTGTCGCCCAGGCTGGAATGTGATGGCACGATCTCAGCTCACTGCAACCTCCACCTCCCAGGTTCAAGCAATTCTCCTGCCTCAGCCTCACGAGTAGCTGATACACCAATTTTTAAATACACCAATTTTTGTATTTTTAGTAGAGATGGGGTTTCACCATGCTGGCCAGCCTGTTCGTCAACTCCTGACCTCAAGTGCTCAAGTGATCCGCCCGCCTCGGCCTCTCAAAGTGCTGGGATTACAGGTGTGAGCCACTGCTCCTGGCCAACTTCAAACCACTTTTTTTTTTTTTTTTTTTTGAGACGGCGTCTCACTCTGTCTCCCAGGCTGGAGTGCGCTGTGTGATCTCGGCTCATTGAAACCTCGCCCGATTCAAAAGCGATTCTCCTGCCTTAGCCTCTGAGTAGCTGATTCAAGCGATTCTCCTGCCTTAGCCTCCTGAGTAGCTGGGACTACAGGCGTCCACCACCATGCCCGGCTAATTTTTGTATTTTTAGTAGAGATGGGGTTTCACCATCTTGGCCAGGCTGGTCTTGAACTCCTGACCTCAAGTGATCCACCCGCCTCGGCCTCCCAAAGTGCTGGGATTACAGGCCTGAGTCACTGCGCTTGGCCAAATACAGCATTTTACAACACATTTTTATAAAAAAATACACAGCACGTGCTACTTTGGCTGTTGCCATTATTGTTACTGTCATTCTCCGGATTCCAGGTCGCCTCCACTTACTTCCTCCTCCGATGCCTCCTCTCCTTGTCCTCCCTCCGCGCGTCCCCCTCGTACGTTGCCGGAGCGCCGTGCCGGTGCCGCCTTCTGCGCTCGCCGCCGTCGGGGCCCTCGCCCTCGCCCTCGCCGCCCCGGGCCGGCCGGCTGCCCTCGCGGTGCCGCGCCCTCCGCTCCGCCTTGTCCTCCGGGCCCTCCTCCCCGGGCCTGCGGTGCGCGCGATGCCGTCGGGGCTCCCCGTCCGCGCCTGTGCGCGGGGACCCGCTGCGGCTTTCCCTGCTGCCCCCCTGCCGGTGCACGTGTCTCCGGTGGGGGTCCCCGGCCTTGCCTCGCTCGGCCTCGCCCTCCCAGAACCCGGGCTGCTCCAGGCTGCCCTCCCGGGCGTGGTGGTCCGACTCGCGGCCGTAGGGTCCCTCCCGGCTCAGCTCGGCCTCCTGGCTGCCCGCCCAGGGCCTCCGTGCGTCCAGGCCCGCCGAGCCGCTGGGGTCCCGGGCCCGATCGTGGTAGCGGGCCTGTTTCCTGAGGAAGTCCTCAGCGCGCTGCTGGCCGAGGCGCTGGTCCACGGTGGGCTCAGCCGCCCGGCTCTTGTTGGTGTTGTTGTTGCGGTTCTCCTGCGGGTCCACTACCAGCGGCCGGTCCAAGTGCGTCTTCATGTCAGGCCGCAGGTGCCGGGTGTAGGCAGCCTTCCAGCGCTCGTCCGGGTCCATTTCGTTGTACAGGGCCTCCCGGCTGGCCAGCAAGTTCTGCTTTCGCATCTCACTGGTCCGCTGCTCCCACACAGACTTGGCTGGCTTTTGATTCTTCTGTTGCTCTTTCCTGCAGTGGGGTGATTACAGGACTTAGAGCATTGGTAGGCACTGTAGCTTGGATGGATGGCCCAGGCTAACCAACCCACATCTCAGCCTCCTACTCCTGCTCTCCACCCTCTACTCCCCACTGGATGCTAGAAGGAGCCTGTGAGCACCTGAGTCAGGGCCCAGCCTCCTCTGCTCAAGAACCCTCCATGGCTCCCACCTGACTAGGAGCAAAAGCCCAAGCCCTCCCCCTGACCCAGAAGGCCCTGTGTAATCTGCCTGTGACCTCCTTGCCCTCACCTCCTCACACTTACTATTCGATTCCAGTCACACAGGCCTCCTTCACATCAGGCATGTTCCTGACTCAGGGCCGTTGCCTATGCTGTTCCCTCTGCCTGGGATACTCTTCCCCAGGCCCCCCAATGGCTCCTCCTTCACCTCCTTCAGGCCATGTAACCTTCTAGGTGAATAGTCCCCAAGCTTTCTGGCACCGGGGGCCAGTTTTGTGGAAGACAGTTTTTCCACAGACCCAGGTGTAGGGGGGGTGGTTTTGGGATGAAACGGTTTCACCTGAGATCCTCAGGCATTCGATTCTTAAAAGGGGCCGGCAACCTAGATCCCTCAGATGCACAGTTCTCAATAATGTTTGTGTTCCTATGAGAATGTAATGCCGCCTGCTGATCTGACAGCAGGTGGAGCTCAGGCGGTCATGCTTGCTTGCCCACTGTTCACCTCCTGCCTTGCAGCCCCATTCCTAATAGGTCTCGGACTGGTCCCAGTCCCCAGCCCAGGGACTGGTGACCCCTATTCTAGGTGATGCCTTCCCTGACAACTTTGTTTAAAATAGGTTCCCGGATTGGTCCCAGTCCCCAGCCCAGGGACTGGTGTGACCTGCTTCTAGGTGATGCCTTCCCTGACAACTTTGTTTAAAATCACAACTGTCTTCACTTCCAGCATTTTCTTTTTTTTTTTTTTTTTTTTTTGAGACGGAGTCTCGCTCTGTCGCCCAGGCTGGAGTGCAGTGGCCAGATCTCAGCTCACTGCAAGCTCCGCCTCCCGGGTTTACACCATTCTCCTGCCTCAGCCTCCTGAGCAGCTGGGACTACAGGCGCACGCCACCTCGCCCGGCTAGTATTTTGTATTTTTTTAGTAGAGACGGGGTTTCACCGTGTTAGCCAGGATGGTCTCCATCTCTTGACCTTGTGATCCACCCGTCTCGGCCTCCCAAAGTGCTGGGATTACAGGCTTGAGCCACCGTGCCCGGCCACTTCCAGCATTTTCTATTTCCCTCCCCTACTTTCTCTGTAGTTCCATCACCGTCTAACACAATATATAATTTACTTATTTATCTAGTTTATTGACTCCTTCCCTTGCTAGAATGGCTACACACAGGTAGGATTTTTTTTTTCTCCTTGTTAATGCTGTATACCCAGAAGTTAGAACAGTGCTGGGTACATAATAGCTGCTAATTAAATATTTATTGAGTAAAAGTGGGTGGAAGGACAAGAAGTGTCTCTTCCTAAAGCTCAATTCTGTCAAGGACCACCCCCAACGCTTCCCAAATCTGTGCCTGGGATAGCGTGGAGGTTGAGGAGCCGGGGGAGCATCCCAGGGATTAGGGGCACTTACACAGCTATGGACATGTTGGCCGCGGACAGAGGACTCACTTCTGCCACCTCCTTGGCTTTCTGTAGGGCAAGTTTCTGGTTGGCTGCTTCTTCCTCCTCTTGCTCGTCCTAAAAGGCAAATGGAATCTTTGTTCACAAAACATGAACTAGGCCTTGGGGACTCACTTCTGACCCTGTTGCTGACCAGGGGCAACATTTGAAATATTTAAAAATAGGTTTGACTTGAGTATCGACCAATCGGAACCAAGGCTCCCCAATTGGAATGGGTACCTGCTATTGGTTAAGTGTACTGCTATCCCCTCTGTGTATAAGCTTGACATCTAACTCATTATGAAGCCTATCTTAACACACAGCCAGATGACAAAAAATTAAAATGTCCCTTCTCTTCCTACAATGAAGACTTTCCTGCAGTCTGTTTTTTTTCCTTTTTTTTTTTTTTGCTTGTTTGTTTTCAGAGACAGTCTCCCCTGGTTGCCCATCCTGGAGTGCAATGGCACAATCATAGCTCACTGTAACCTTGAACTCCTGGACTTAAGCAATCCTCCCACCTCAGCCTCCCAAGCAACTGGGACTACAGACGCACGCCACTATGCCCAGATAAATTTAATTTTTTTTTTTCTTTTCTTTTTGGAGAGACAGGGTCTCACTATGTTGCCCAGGCTGGTCTTGAACTTCTGGCCTCAAATGATCCTCCCACTTCAGCCTCCCAAAGTGCTGGGATTACAGGCATGAGCCACTGTGCCTGGCCCCTGCATCCTGTCTTAATGAGCTGGAAAGCAACGCAAGGATTTTCCCCTCACTAGGCTTTCTGAGCCATGTGAACTCTCTGAACCAACGTTCCACAAACACCAGCTAGCCTCACACACAGAAGAGCCTGGCATCCGATGGCCCATGCCATGCACTGTCAACAGCCCCCAGAAAGAGAATCAGGAGAGGAATTTATATTCCCAGCCCCCACGACAGGAAGGCGGTGGGGAGAGGAGAGCAGGGCACTTGGGCTACAGCCGACTGCCCAGGGTGCTGCTGCTCACTACTGGTGGTTAGGTTCAGAGAGGAGGAGAATGGGGAAAGATGTTTTAAAAATACATACAGAAAAAGACGTTTTTGGACTTTAAATCCTTCTTCAGCCTTCATGCAGGGCCTCATTCGTAAAACAGAAAAGCCAACAAAGAAAAAGCAAAGAAAAAGCAACGAGAAAGAAACGGCCAGAAATGAACCCGCCCATAAGAAAAGTCATGGCATTGCAGGACAGCTCTCCTGCTGTGCTCCGAATTACTGGAACGGGGAGCAACCTTACCACCTTGGAAATGGTCAGATCAGGACACTGTCAGAGACAACATGGAGATGGGATCTGGCTGGCCACCCTGCTCTCATAGGGCCACCCCCACCCCTCCTGGCACCATTCCCAGCATTTTTCAGAGCCAGGTCTCTGGACCATCTGCCTCAGAAACACCTAAAATGCAGATCCCCAGGCTCCCTCAAAGAATCTATAGAACCAGGGCTGGGCTCTGGAATCTGCATTTCCCACAGGTTCCCAAGTGAGCATGAAACATGCTCAAATTCAAGCAACTGGTACACAGCAGTTAAGAGCACAAGCTGCAGACCCAGACAGCCTGGGTTCAAATCCCAGCTCCACAACTTACTGCTGTGTGGCCTTGGGCAAGTCTCTCAACCTCTCTGGGCGACACATATCTCATCTAAAATTCCAACTCTCCCCGACTTTCCCTACTGAATTTTTCTCTGTTGCGTTTATCACCAACTGACAAGCTACGTATGTTTACAAATTTATCTTGTTTCTTGTGTGTCTCCCCTCTTGAATCCCTGCTCCACGAAGGCAGGGATTTTTACCTTTTTTGGTTCACTGCTTAATCCCTAAGTCCTAGACTAGGGTCTTGGTCACACAGTAGGTGCTCATTAAGTGCTTACTGAATGATGAAATCTATAAAATGGGGCTCAGAGACCTTGCCTCCTAAGATTTCCATGATGATTGAATAGGATTAAAAACACATATTAAACGACCAAGAAATGCTTGTAGGATCAATGAAAGAAAGAATGTGGGTCTGGAGAGGAATGTCCACACCTCCCAGGAGATAAATGAGCTGGACTTTCTCCCTCCCCATCTCCTACCCTCCTGCACCAGCCCCTGAGGATGGACACTTGGAACTTGGATGAGATCATGGCTGGATCAGCCCTCGGCTCAGCCATGCCAGCCGGCTCCACGGTGGCCAGGCTCGTGGCTGTGTGCTTGGGATGGCAGAGACTTCCGCTTCCCTCCAGCGGGAGCTGGGGCCGGGAAACTCTCTCTCCCTCCTGCCAGGGCCGGCAGATGGAGCGTTGGCAACCGTCTGCTTAGTTTGGTTCAATTTCACAAACATGTCCTGAACACCTCGAGGCACTGGAGGTGGGGCTGGAACGCTGAGGGAGACCCTGTACCTGTTACATGTAATCTTAACTTAATAGGGTCCTTGGGGAGGGGCTTAGGCTGGACCGAGGCTAGCTCTTAACATGCTAGGTTTGGCTAAGGGGAGGCTCCAGTGGGAAGCCAGAGGAAGAGAGAAGGTGGGGACATTTATTGGCCATTCCATCTGTGCCTTGCCATGGTTCTGGGTCCTCTAAGGTCCCAGGGCTGGTGGCAGCCCTTGTTCCTTGGCCCCAACTCTGATTGGGTCCCCATAACAGCACTCCCTCTCCCTTCCACTAGCTGGGGGCGACACCATTCCTTGGAAACCCTGCTTACTCCCTGTAAACGGCCTTTTGGTTGAGTTTGCCATCTGTTTCCTGCAGCGACCTCACTGCCTTCCCCCTTCCCACCCTCTTGGCTGTAGAATTTGCTTGATGAGGGACAGTCTGTTTCTGGGAGCGGGGGGAGAGGCGCCTCCTCTTTGCACAGTGCATCCCCGGCTAAAGTTGTGACCCCGTTCCCGCGCCCCCACCCCCACTCCCGTCCTGATCTGCCATGGGTAGGTGGTAACTTTGCCAGAGAAACATTCTCCCACCGCCTCCACCTTGGTGAGCTCCTGGGCATTGGCCAGATTGTCCACAGCGATGGCCAAGAACACATTCAGGAGGGTGTCTGCAAATGTCTGAGTCAGGAAAAGCAACCATTGGTGGGACACCACTTGGGCCCTGGGTATCTGGGTCTCTCCGTACCCTCCCTTGAGCCCCTGCCACCTCTCCTCTGCCAGAGGTCCAGGCCTGTCCCCATCTCTCCCTCCACGAAGGATACAGTTCCCGAAGAGTGTCAGTACAATGAAATAGATGGAGAACACCATGCCGCCCTGCACGCCCCCCTGAGACTTGATCCCGTCGTACATGACCTCGTTCCAGTCTTCGCCCGTCAGGATCTGAAAGGGGAGGAAGAAACACACAGCCAACCCCCTCTCAGCCACGGGCCCCTCGGAGATGCAGTTGTGGAGCCGGCATCCACCCACGCCATCCCCAAGCCCAGGAGGTCTTCAACAATCCCGCCTGGTTTGCGGGACTAGACTCTGTGTTGGCTTCTCCTTGGCTTTTCTCTTTCTTTGCGAGTAGAAAGGGCTGTTCCTGCATTGAGTGGCTCTTAGCTTGGCTTCTAGGAAAATGGAACCCTGGAGGAGTCACAAACCCTCCTGTCACTCTGTCTTACCTGATGTGATTAAGGGGATTTGCTATGGACTAAATTGCGTTCCCTTCCAAATTCATGTGTTGAAGCCCTAACCTATAATGGTATTTGGAGATGAGGTCTTTAAGGGGTAACTAGGGTTAGATGAGGTCATGGGGGACTTCATGATGGTATTAGTGCCCTTATAAGAATAGGAAGAGACCGCATGCCATGACGCATGCCTGCAATCCCAGTACTTTGGGAGGCCGAGGTGGGAGGATCACTTGAGCCCAGGAGTTCAAGATTAGCCTGGGCAATATAGCAAGACCCCATCTTTACAAAAAATAATAAAAAAAATAGCTGGTACACATCTGTAGTCCCAGCTACTCAATGGGCTGAAGTGGGAGGATCATTTGAACTTAGGAGTTTGAGGCTGCTGTGAGCTACGATTGCGCCACTGCACTCCAGCCTGGGCGATAAAAAAAAATGTGATTTGCCTAAAAAAAAAAAAGATTTTTTTTTTTTTGAGATTTTTTGTCTCAAAAAAAAGAAAAGAAAAGAAAAAAAAGAACAGGAAGAAACACCAGAACTCTCTCTCTCTCTGACATATGAGGACACAGCAAGAAGGTGGCTATCTGCAAGCTAGGAAGATAGACCCCACCAGGAACTAACCCTGCTAACACTTCGATCTTGGACTTCCTGGCCTCTAGAACTGTGAGAGAATAAATGTTTCCTGTATAAGCCACCCAGTCTGTGGTATTTTGTTATGGCAGCCTGAGCAGACTAAGACAGGATTTTAATATTTACCTGTGTTCCTCGTGTAGTCATGGTGATGATTAAATAAACTACTATGTGGATAGCACAAACGTAGCACAAGGACATGTTTGGGGTCCCCCTGCCTGAGGCAGACCCTGGAACAAGGGTTCAGGTGTAAGTGGTTTATCTGGGAGGTGATCTCAGGAACCACCAGTAGGGGAGAGGAGAAGTGAGAAAGGGAAAAGAGGGTGGAATATAAACAATATGTTATCAAGCGAGTTTCCACTGTAGGTAACTGGGGCTCGGTCTCACTAGGGAGCTCTGGAGGTCATCCACCTGAGGGTGAGGGAGCTGGGGTATTTATCCACCAACGCTGCTCCTTTTAGGGTGTGGTGCAAAAAATTCACAGTACTACTAGACTGCAGTTCCTTGGGGGCAGAGCAGGCGACCAGAGAAAGACCAAGGTAAAGGATTAGGTGTTGACAGAAGTTTTGCTGATGCATATTGAAACAACCAAGGGGATATTCGAACAGCACCTATATGCTCCTTTACTCCCAAAACATTAATCTGCTAAAACAGGGTTTCTAAGCCTCAGCACTGCTGATATTTGGGGCTAGATTATTCTATTTGGGGCTGTCCTGTGCATTGTAGGATGTTGAGTAGCATTCCTAGTCTCCACCCACCAGATGCCTGTAGCACCCCCTCCCTAGCTATGACAACCAACAATGCTTGCAGACATTGCTACATGTCCTTGGAGGAGAGACTTGCCCTTGGGTGAGAACCTCTGAGCTAAAGATACATGACTAGTGATCAGTGCTATTAATAATCGCTTATGGGCTGGGTGCGGTGGCTCATGTCTATAATCCCAGCACTTTGGGAGGCCAAGGCAGGCGGATCATGAGGTCAGGAGTTTGAGACCAGCCTGGCCAACATAGTTAAACCCTGTCTCTATTAAAAATACAAAAATTAGCCAGGCATGGTGGCGCACACCTGTAGACCCAGCTGCTGGGGAGGCTGAGGCAGGAGAATGGCTTGAACCCAGGAGGCAGAGGTTTTGGTGAGCTGAGATTGTGCCACTGTACTCCAGCCTTGGCAACAGAGCAAGACTCCGTCTCAAAAAAAAAAAAAAAAAAAAAAAAAAAAAAAATTGCTTATGTGAGGGCTCAGAACTTCCTTTCATGGAAGATTTCCTCTTCAACTCCCTGTCTAGGGGTGTCATTTAGAAACTACCTCCCCAGGAGAAGGAGAGAGTGACGTCACATTTTCTATACAACCTCAGTCCCCCAAAGAGAAAGAATCTACCAGAGACGCTCTGAAGGTCCCGGCTGGGCCAGTTCCAAGCCTCAGGGAATGTGCCCACATGGGTGCAGAAGTTGCTTTGAGTTGATCACCCTGGAATATGAGACCAAGGTATCTTCAGATTTGGTGGGTGTATTAGCCATTTTTTTGTTGTTGTTTCTCTGCCTTTTTTTGTTAAGAGACAGGGTCTTGCTCTGTGGCCCAGGCTGGAGCTCACTGCAGCCTCAAACTCCTGGGCTCAAGCAATCTTCCCGCCTTGGTCTCCCAAAGTGCTGAGATTACAGGCATGAATCACCTCACTGGCCTGGCCATGCATTTTATTTTCTTTATTCCGATGCATCTGGGGTCTTGCTGACTCTGGAGGGACTGCCCTATCCAGCATGAGCCAGTCCCTAGAGGTAGTAAACAATTTAGCCCTGAGCAGGCTTTTCAAATGCAAACCAAACAACATCCTAACCAGCCCATATCCCAACCACTTCCTTTACCTTCCCAACACTATCCACCTGCCCTAACACCCCAAGGTCAGGTCCTAGACAAGTAGGAACATCTTCTCTGCCCCAGGGCCCACAGAAATGATCCAAACTAGCCACTCTCGAGCTGTTTACTCTGCCTCACCCATTCCTTCCCATGGAAACCACAATCAAGGCTCTTGCCAACATTTTCCTTCTCTTCCTGCTTGACCGTGTTGCTTCCCTGCTTGGTCCTGCATGGTGTGCTCCTTCTCTGAGGATCTGCGAGTATAGCAAACTTTCTTTTTGTTTTTGAGACAGGGCTTTGCTCTCTCGCCCAGGCTGGAGTGCAGTAGTATGATTGTAACTCACTGCAGCCTCAACCTCCTGGGCTCAAGCGATCCTTCCACTTCAGCTGCCCCAGTAGCTAGGAGGTATGCACCACCATGCCCAGTTAATTAATTTTTTTTTTTTTTTTTGTAGAGACGGAGTCTCACTATGTTGCCCAGACTGGTCTCAAACTCCTGGCCTCAAGTAGCCCTCCAACCTTGACCTCCCAAAAGTGTTTTTATTTATTTATTTATTTATTTATTTATTTATAGAGATGAAGTCTCACTCTGTTGCCCAGGCTGAAGTGCAATGGCGCGATCTTGGTTCACTGCAACCTCCGCCTCCCAGGTTCAAGCAATTCTCCCGCCTCAGCCTCCCAAGTAGCTGGGATTACAGGCACGTGATACCACGCCCGGCTAATTTTTGTATTTTTAGTAGAGATGGGGTTTCACCATGTTGGCCAGGCTGGTCTCGAATTCCTGATCTCAAGTGATCTGCCCACCTGGGCTTCCCAAAGTGTTGGGATTACAGGTGTGAGCCACCGCACCTGGCCAAAGTGCTGGGATTATAGGCGTGAGCCACTATGCCCAGCCACAAACTCTTTCCAGTGACATTCATCTCCTGATTTGTTGACCTCACCATATTTGAATAATGATAATCATAAAAGTGGTATGTTAAAGTGGTATGAAAAGGCAAGGTAGAGAAGGAGGAGTTCAGGGAAGCCCCTTGGATGTGGAGCAGGCACTTTCACCTGTGACACTGAGAGGCGTTGGCCCATGGGGCCAGGTGGAGGCCGTACCTGAAACACCGTCATTATTGCTGCTGGAAAAGTATCGAAGTTGGTAGGAGGAGTCCCTTCATCGAAATTAAACCTGCAGGGAGGACACGGACATTTCATGTTGGCCCCACCCCAGGTGCTCTGAGGGCGTGGCTCAGTATCTCATCTCCAAGGAAACGAATGCCTCCATCATCTCTGTCCCCAGGAAACCCTGAGTGGTACCCAGGGCCCTGCTCATCTGGGTGACTGCAATAGGTGTCTGGGCTACCAGGAAGGCAGCCTGCATGGTGGAGGGGAATGTGGGCCTCTGGATGCCCTGAGCCTGACCCCAGGGAACCAGGAGTTGGAATTCCTGGGAAGGACTTACTGGCCGCCGAAGAGTTGCATTCCCAAAAGGGCGAAGACGACAATGAACAGGAAAAGGAGAAACAACAGGCTGATGATGGACTTCATGGAGTTGAGGAGAGAGACGACCAGGTTTCTGAGAGATGCCCAGTACCTGCCGACAGAGGCCGGGCGAGGACTCAGGCCAGGCGGGGGAGGCAGGGCCCCGGAGTCAGCCCTCGAAGCACGAGGCTCACTTTCCCAACTTTCTGGAGGCGGCCCCACCATGTCCCCCATCCCCACCCGTTGTACAAATGTCCAGGAACCCCAAAGACTTACTTTGTGACTTTGAAAATACGCAATAACCTGAGGGCTCGTAACACGCTGATTCCAAAGGATGTGCCAGGTTTTATGACAGCCCAGATAACCTCGAAGATGCTCCCAATGATAACCTAAGGCAGAGGACCTGGTCTCATGTCCAGGGACAGTGTCTGGGCTCCAGAACTGGCAAGCATTTCCTAGGCACCAACCTTGCAAGAACCCAACCAAACTCCTCCCTCCAAATGGAAGCCGGGTGAGGATCCTTGACCCCCTCATTCATCCATTCATTTATCTACAGAGACCAGGTCTCACTGTGTCACCCAGGCTGGAGTGCAGTGGCGCAAATCATAGCTCACTGCAGCACTGTCCTCCTGGGCTCAAGTGATCCTCCCACCTCAGCCTCTTGAGTAGCTGGGATTACAGGTGTGCACCACCACACCTGGCTAATTTTAAACCATTTTTATAGAGATGGTGTCTCGCTAGTATTGCCCAGGTTGATCTCAAACTTCTGGGCTGAAGCCATTCTCCTGCTTTGGTCTCTCCAAGTGTTGGCCTCCATTTTCCAAAGCATTGAGCCACTGCACCTGGCCTCTTATTTATTTTTTTATATGTATGTATGTATGTATTTAGAGATGGAGTCTTGCTCTTGTCACCCAGGCTGGAGTGCAGTGGCGTGATCTCGGCTTACGGCAACCTCCGCCTCCCAGGTTCAAGAGATTTTCCTGCCTTAGCCTCCCGAGTAGCTGGGATTATAGGCACCCGCCACCACGCCCGGCTAATTTTTTGTATTTTTAGTAGAGATGGGGTTTCCCTATGTTGGCTAGGCTAGTCTCGAACTCCTGACTTCGTGATCTGCCTGCCTCGGCCTCCCAAAGTGCTGGGATTACAAGCGTGAGCCACCACACCCGGCCTCTTTTTTATTTATTAAGAGCTCACACAGGCCTGAGAATTCCTGAAACACATAATTACAAAGTGAATGTTCATGCAACTACTACCTATGTCAACAGTTAGGAGAAGGCTGGGGGCAGTGGCTCATACTTGTAATTCCAGAACTTTGGGAGGCTGACGTGGGCAGATCACTTGAGCCCAGAAGTTCAAGACCAGCCTGGGTAACACAGAGAAACCCTGACTTTACAAAAAAAAAAAAAAAAAAAAAAAAAAATTATTCAAGCATGGTGGCATGTGTCTGTAGTCCCAGTTACTTAGGAGGCTGAGAAGGGAGGACAGCTTGAGCCCAGGAATTTGAGACAGCAGAGAGCCGCGATCCTGCCACTGCACTCCAGCCTGGGCAACAGAGCAAGACCCTATCTCAAATAAAAAAAAAATAAAATAAAATAAAAAGGGACATGTGGATACCCTGGAAGTTTCCAGAGACACTGTGATATAACTACTATCCTGAATTTTGTAATAATCATTTTCTTACCTTAAAAAAAATTGAGGTGAAATTCACATAGCATAAAATTCACACTTTGAATTGCGCAGTTCAGTGCGTTTAGGTACATGCACGATATTCTGCAACTATCACCTCTACCAAGTTCCAAAACATTGTCATCACCCCCAAAAGAGGCCCTGTCCCCATTAGCAGTCACTCCCCACTCTCTCTCACCCAGACCCTAGCAACCACTAATCTACTTTCTGTCTCTGTGGATTTGCCTGCTCTGGACATTTTATACAAATGGAATTATGCAATACTTGACCTTTTGTGTTTGGTTTCTTTTACTGGGCATTGTGTTTTCGAGGTCCTTGACTTTTTAAAGTATTCAAATATCATCCTCAAAAAATATAATTTAAGGTGGGGCGTGGTGGCTCACGCCTATAATCCCAGCACTTTGGGAGGCTGAGGCGGGTGGATCACCTGAGGTCAGGAGTTCGAGACCAGCCTGGGCAAATTGCTGAAACCCCGTCTCTACGAAAAACACAAAATTAGCCGGGGATGGTGATGCATGCCTGTAATCCCAGCTACTTGGGAGGCTGAGGTGGGAGAATGGCTTGAACCCGGGAGGTGGAGGTTGTGGTGAGCCAAGATTGTGCCACTGCACTCCAGCCTGAGAAACAGAGTGAGACCCTGTCTCGAAAAAAAGAAAAAGAAAAAAAAAAAAAGAAAAAATATATATAGTTTAATTTTGTCCACTTGAACTTTGCATGAACTGTGTGGACTTACGCTGCTAGCTCCTGCCTCCTTCTGTGCCATGTTACGTGGGTGAGATTCATTCCTGTTGTTGGGCATGTGGCTGTTGTTGGTGGACTTTGATTGTTGCAGAGTATTTCATTATATAGATATGCCACAAAATATTTATCTGTTCTACAGCAAAGGGATACGTGGATATTGGGACTTGGAACTATTACAAACAAGGCTGCTCAGGACATTTTAAAATGTTTCTTTGTTTCTTTTCTTTTCTTTTCTTTTCTTTTTGAGATGGAGTCTCATTCTGTCGCCCAGGCTGGAGTGCAATGGTGCAATCTCAGCTTACTGCAACCTCTGCCTCCCCGGTTCAAGCGATTCTCCTTCCTCAGCCTCCCAAGTAGCTGGGATTACAGGCAGGCGCCACGACGCCTGGCTAATTTTTGTATTTTTTTTTTTAGTATAGACGGGGTTTCGCCGAGTTGGCCAGGCTGGTCTCGAACTCCTGACTTCAGGAGATCCACCTGACTCCGCCTCTCAAAGTGCTGGGATTATAGGTGTGAGCCACTGCGCCTGGTCTACTTTTATTTCTTAGAAATGGGGTCTCAGTCTCTTGTCCAGGCTGGAGTTCAGTGGTGTGATCATAGCTCACTGCAGCCTCAAGCCTTAAACTACTGGGCTCAAGCAATCCTCCCACCTCAGCCTTCTGAGTAGCTGGGGCTACAGGTGTGCACCACCACACCTGGCTATTTTTTTTTTTTTGTAGAGACAGGGTCTTGCTATGGTGCCTGGCTGGTTTTCAACTCCTGGGCTCAAGCAATTCTGCTGCCTCAGCCTCCTGAATAGCTGAGGCTACAGGCATGAGGCATCACACCCGGCTTTCTTTTCTTTTCTTTTTTCTTTTTTTTTTTTTTTTTTTTGAGACGGAGTCTCGCTCTGTCACCCAGCCTGGAGTGCAGTGGCCGGATCTCAGCTCACTGCAAGCTCTGCCTCCCAGGTTCACGCCATTCTCCTGCCTCAGCCTCCCGAGTAGCTGGGACTACAGGCGCCCGCCACCTCGCCTGGCTAGTTTTTTGTATTTTTTAGTAGAGATGGGGTTTCACTGTGTTAGCTGAGATGGTCTCGATCTCCTGACCTTGTGATCCACCCGTCTTGGCCTCCCAAAGTGCTGGGATTACAGGCTTGAGCCACCGCGCCTGGCCTCTTTTCTTTTCTTTTTTTTTTTTTTTTGAGACAGAGTCTTGCTCTGTCGCCCAGGCTGGAGTGCAGTGGTGCGATCTCCGCTCACTGCAAGCTCTGCTGCCTCCTGGGTTCATGCCATTCTCCTGCCTCAGCCTCCGGAGAAGCTGGGACTACAGGCACCAGCCACCAGGCCTGGCTAATTTTTTTGTATTTTTTAGCAGAGACGGGGTTTCACCGTGTTAGCCAGGATGGTCTCGATCTCCTGACCTCGTGATCCACCCGCCTTGGCCTCCCAAAGTGCTCTTTTCTTTCTAATGGAAAGAAATTGGTTTTATTCCTTAAACACTTGGTTCATTTATGTAGGGAAGGTTGGTTGGTTTGTATGTATTTTGTTTTCTCCAACAACATAATTTTCTATAATGGCAGAAAACAGTACAACATTCAGTTATTATAAATTATTAAGCCTTTCTGAGACCAACAGGACTGTGCTAAATTATTAGGGCTGCCCTGGGCCAGGCAATCTCCACTTATTTGCGAACAACCTTAATTTCACTTCCAGCTGCAGAGACATTCTGGCCTGTGTCTCCTAGGTATCTGGGTGAGATTTTCTAGGATGAATTCCTAGCAGTGGAATGCTAGGTCATATCTCCATCTTGTAGTTTCTGTCCTGGTTCGATGAGAAGGATTGGATGTAGATTATTCTCAGGGACTTAGGTTTTGTATTGACTAGTGGGTTCCTGGGTGTTCATCACATTTAAAAGTAAACTAATTAACTGAGCAATTCACAAAATAACAATGGACCATAATGGCTCCATAATGCCAGAGTCTTGTAATCTAACAATTATACTTCATCTACTTCCACATGACTGAGCTCCAAAGGAAAAAAAGAAATAGAAATCATGATGATGTCCTATTTGTAATCCTGAAGTTAGGTACTTAGTTGGAGCGACATAGGCAACCCGCCTAAGGCATGGCTTTTCTCCCAACTTGGAAAACTTGTCTTACGTCCCCTACTTAGCTTTCCAACGGGGGTCTATACGTTTTCCTCCCACGGCAGTGGTTGAGGGTTCTGGGTACCCTGTATCCTTGCCAGTGTTTGGGATTGTTTTCTCATTCCTTCTGCATCCATCTGAGTCTCTCATATTCAGGGGTGACTTTACCTTTCTCCCCTTAATGTGTCCAAGAATCTGTCATTCCAGGCAAGAGCTGGAGAAATGAACTGCTTAGAAACAAGAGCACTTACCCCACAGTCAAAGCAGTTGAAGGAAGAGTGGAAGTAAGGCCGCGTCCCAAGCCCGTACATTTTTATAAACATTTCGGACATAAAGAGTCCTAAGAAAATGAATTCTGCATAGTCTAGAAGGGAGAAGGAAGAAACAGAAAGGAGGTTAGGCTTGCTGAGGGTAGGGTTTCCAGGTGGCTCTGACTTTTCTTTTATTATCATTTTTTAACTTTTTATTTTTTGTAGAGATGAGGTCTTGCTATGCTGTTAGGCTGGTTTCAAACTCCTGGCCTCAAATAGTTTCCCCAATTTGGCCTCCAACATGCTAGAACTACAGGTGTGTGTCACCATACCCAACTTCTGACTTATCTTTTTTCTTTTAAAAATTTTTATGTGGAGATGGGGGTCTCAATGTGTTGCCTAGGCTGGTCTTGAACTCCTGGCCTCATGTGATCCTCCCAGCTCAGTCTCCCAAAGTGCTGGGATTATAGACATGAACCACTGTGCCCACGCCCTGTCCAAGGTGTCCTTCCCATGGGCCTCAGTTTCCGCTGTTAAAAAGGAAGAGCTGGCTGGGCATGGTGGCTTACGTCTGTAATCCCAGCACTTTGGGAGGCCTAGGTGGGCAGATCAACTGAGGTCAGGAGTTTGAGACCAGCCTGGCTAACATGGCAAACCCCATCTCTACTAAAAATATCAAAATTAGCCAGTGTGGTGGCACATGCCTGTAAACCCAGCTACTTGGGAGGCTGAGGCATGAGAATCACTTGAACCGGGGAGGTGGAGGTTGCAGTGAGCCAAGATTGGGCCACGGTACTATAGCCTGGGTGACAGAGCAAGACCCTGTCTTAAAAAAAAAAAAAAAAAGAGCAACAATTGTGCCCTCCTACCCTGCAACCAACAAGCCAACCAACCTTAGGCCAATTTTAAAAGGAATGAGAAAAAGTTCTGTGGGTCTCCATCTTGTAGTTTTTGCCCTGGTTCGATGAGAAGGACTGGATGTAGATTATTGCCAAGGACTTAGCTTTTGTGTTGACTGGTGGGTTCCTGGGTGTTTATGATATTTAAAAAATAAATTAATTAACGGAATAATTCACAAAATAACAATGGACCATAACAGCCCCATAATGCCAGGGTGCTGTGATCTGACAATTATACTTATTCTACTTCTATGTCACTGGGCTCCAAAGGAAAAAAGGAAATAGAAATCATAATGATATCCTATTTGTAATCCTGAAGTTAAGTACTCAGTTGGAGCAACACAGGCAACCCACCTAAGGCATGGCTTTTCTCCCAACTTGGAAAACTTGTCTTATGTCCCCTAGAAATCCTGTGTTGTGAGTGATCTAAAAGTCTTCAGTAAGACAAAGTCTTTCATTCTTTGATGAGCAAGCATAAAAGTGCAAATGTCTCAGGGAGGGGTAAAACATGGATATGTATTTGCTCCAGCAAATAAATGGCTGACATCAGATCCTTTTCTGAGAGGGTTTTCTTGGTGGGGTAGGAAGATGAGGAGTTAGGAAGGGCGTGGGTACTTACTTAATGGATAGAAAGGAGAGATGAGGAGGGTTTCTGAGGAGCAGAAAGCATACAGAAAGGAAAGAGACAGAGGATTGAAACTAACTTCCATGAATTTCATATAGCTAATTAAGGCCACAAAACTAATTGTGTTTGGTGGTTGCCATGGTTTAAATGTTTGTGTCCCCTCCAACATTTATGTTGAAACTTAATTGCCAATGTAACAGTATTAAGAGGTGGGGCCTTCAGGAGGTGATTAGGTCACGACGGTAGAGCTCTCATGAATTAGGTGCCCTTATAAAAGAGCTTGACAGAGGAAGTTTGTCCCTCTTGCTCCTCCACCTTCTGCCATGTGAGGACCCAGTGTTCCTCCCTTCCAGAGGATACAGTATTCAAGATACAATATTGGAAGCAGAGAGCAGTCTTCATCAGACAAGGAAACTTGCCAATGCCTTGATCTTGGACTTCCCAGCCTCTAGAACTGTGAGAAAATAAATTTCTGTTCTTATCAAATTACCCAGTCTCAGGTAATTTGTTTTAGCAGCACAAATGAACTAAGACATTTCTCAAGGGTGTTTCCTATATCACGCTTTTAAGAGGTGTTTTGAACTAACCGTCAAAGTCCTTCACACTTATTTATCACCAAAATTTCTCCTTATTTATAGGACACTAAGGAGATCCTAGTGTCTGAGGGGAACTCTAAGGTTCCTAGGACAAAAATATCAGCAAAGGAAGTCTGTTTGTAACATCTGATACATTCCAAGACCCACCAGAAGTAACTCTGGGAGGACTGAAGGGTTTCTGAGAGCTTGTTCCTCAGTTACCATGGAAACATGATAGCAAGTGATGCACAAGACTTGAAAGAATTACTTATCCTTAGCATTGTTGGATCTGGAAGAACTTTCAGGACCATCAAATCCAGTTTCCACCACATAGTTGTGGAGTCTGAGACCCAGAGAAACAACTACACCCCATTGATCCCAAGACGTACATTTTTGTTCACATTTTGACATCTCTGAAATTAACATATATCTTTATTTATTTATTTATTTTTGAGATGGTGTCTAGCTCTGTTGCCCAGGCTGGAGTGCAGTGGCGCGATCTCAGCTCACTGCAACCTCTGCCTCTTGGGTTCAAGCGATTCTCCTGCCTCAGCCTTCCAAGTAGCTGGGATTACAGGTACCTGCCATCATGCCCAGCTAATGTGTGACCCTGGGAGATCTACTTAACCTCTCTGTGTCTCAGTTTTCTCAAATGGAAAGTGGGAATGAGTAAAGGACCTTTATAGACACTGAGGGCCCAGGCAGGAAGTCTCAGTCCCTTGTTCCTGAACCAGGACAGACTGTACAAGATCATTAGTGGAGAGAATATAGGAGATTAAAAATAGAGTATTAGAGGAAGTTAAAACAAGAAGTAGAGTCCTCATTTATAAGAGACTCCAGAGGGACTAAAAACAATTACCAAGTTTGAAACTCAGTCAGGGCCCTGGGAAGGAGAACTGGTTCCTGAGGGGTGCCCTGGGGGGTCAGCCAACATGACTGGGAACAAGGAGGGTTATAAGAAGACAATGGCCTGGACTAGGCTCATGGGCCTTTCTAGGTCAAAGACTAGACTGTCTCTTCTTGCTGTCCTAAGTCAATTCTGAACCAGGTCAGAAGGGCAGTGAATAAATTAGAAAGCCAGTAGGCAAAAGACGTTTTGGGAAGTCCTTACTTGGGACCTGCAAGCCAAAGCCAGAGCATCCACCTGCCCCCCTCACTGCCCAATCACTACTCTTTTAATTTAATTTAATTTAATTTTATTTTTTGAGACACAGTCTCTCTTTGCTGCTCAGGCTAGAGTACAGTGGCATGATCTTGGCTCATTGCAACCTCCACCTCCTGGGTTCAACCAATTCTAATGTCTCAGCCTCCTGAGTAGCTGGGATTACAGGTGTGCACCATCATGTCTGGCTAATTTTTGTATTTTTTGTAAAGACAGGGCTTCACCATATTGGCCAGGCTGGTCTTGAACTCCTGGCCTCAAGTGATCCACCCACCTCAGCCTCCCAAAATGCTGGAATTATAGGTGTGAGCCACCGTGCCTAGCCCCAGTCACTGCTCTTGTTGATTCCTCAGAGCTCTTTACTTTTTAAATCCTGCTCAGACATCTCCCCATCTTTTGCTGCTTTTCCTCACCCTCACTTGGCCCTCAATTTTGATACTATCTCATGCTAACTCAAATAGAATCTGGGAATAGGCCCAGAGGGCAAATCCTTGGTGGTCCTTGTACCCTGAGGGAGCAAGATGCTCTCACAGATACTGGAGGGGATGTTCTATAAATGAATAAGAAAGCCGAAAAGGGCAGGGGAGGAAGTATTAGGTTGGTGCAAAAGTAATTGTGGTTAAAAAAAAAAAAAAAAGGCAAAAACTGCAATTAATTTTGCACCAACCTAACAGGAAAGAAGCAGAAGGTTTGAAAGAAGAGAGAAGCAGTCAGAAATAAGCAGAGAAAATGAGGGCAACATATAAGCCACTCCTTATTTCTAAGGCATCCTCTATCTCTTAACCATAAGTTATGAACATTTCCAGATATGTACATAAAAATTATTAATACATGTTTCTGTTTCTGTCTGTCTTATGAGCTCTGTCTTTCTCTGTCTCTCTTCCAACATCCCCTTCACCAGCACCCCTCTGTCTCTCTCTCTTAGAAAGGAGCATCTGTTGGCCTGAATTCCAGCTTCTAGCTCTCAGGCCTAAGGGAGATGGGTTCCATTGTCATAGCAACAGCAACATTGGCCCCAGTGACAGTTATAGAAATGGCTAAAGGAAAGGGCAGATTCAAGGAGGACCAAAGAAGACACACATACTACCAGAAAAAGAGAAGTGGAAAAAGGGTGTGAGGGAGGGATCACAGAGTTGGCAGGGGTGGGGCTGGGCGATACTCACAAAGGAAGTCGGAGAGCCACTCGGGCTGGTTGTAGTGTACAATAGCAACACACAGCGTGTTGAGAGCTACCAAACTGAGTACAGTCCAGTAGAAGGCCTGAGTTTTGACCATGCGGCGGATGTAGAAACGCATCCTCCTCTCTTTTTTGTGAAAAAAGGTCGAGTTCTCCAGCTTGGCACTTTTAATGCTGGCTCGGGCGAAGGGAGAACCTGCCAGGGAAAAGATGGAGAATATCAGGCTTAGGCTGTTCCTGTGGAAGAAATTAACCAGTGTGCAGCCCAAGCACAGATCTTAGCCAGGGGATCCATTAGTCTCTCCAGCAAGCCCTCTGGCCTGAGGTAACCATCATGACCCATGGGCTTAGTTTTGTATAGATGGAGCTTATGAGAAGACAATGTCCCTGAAAATAACAGAATCAGAAATAACCAATGAGTAAGCAGGATGTTGATGGGGAGGCTGATAGCTCTCTGTTGCAGGAGCCAATTTTCCATGACTCCCACTCCCAGGCACATCTGATACCTCTGGGAGTCACACCACAGGGCAGGATAAAGCAGGGCCTCCATTCCCTGATGCAGGGGCAGGCAACAGAGCTGCACGGAGCATGTGTGCAAGGCCTCCAGAAAGAGATGTGGATAAGACTCTAGTTTTCCATGGACATTTCACTTTAGAAGTGATCACTGAGGAACGAGCTGGGTGTGTCCTCTGCCTGCATATAGTTTTGCTCTTATGCATTTACTGAGTACCTATTTTGTGCCAGCCTCTGTTTCAGGGGCTCAGGATACATTAGGCAACAGAGCCTGGACTTCCTGGGTCTGACCTTCCAAGGGGAGGAGACAGACAGTGGACATAATAAGTAAATTAATGGTGGGATGGAAAATGAAAAGTGCTATGGAAAAAAAAAAAGTTGGGATGGGTGCAGTGGCACATGCCTGTAATCCCAGTATTTTGGGAAGCTGGAGTGGGAGGACTGTTTGAGGCCAGGAGTTTGACACCAGCCTGGGCAACATAGCAAGACATATTTTTTAAATAACAATTGTTCTTTTAAAGAGAAAAAGTAAAGCATCACAGAGGGACTGGGAGCCCTAGGAGAGTCCACGGGGTAGGCTACAGCATTAAATTGCAAGGTCAAGGTGAGTGTGTTGACTTGTCACTTCAGTATCTTAGGTAGAGGAAACAGCAAATTTAAGGTCCTGAAGCGTGAATGTGTCTGCCCAACAGTTTTGGGGAACAGCACAAGGAAGTCAGTGTGGATGGAGTGGAGTGGTTGAGGGGAAAAGAGAAGGAGGTGAAAGCAGGAAGGTGATAGGCAGATCATGCAGGGCCTGGTGGACCACAAGGAGGACTTTGGCTTTTACCTTGAGTGAGGTGGGAGCCATGGAGGGTTCTGAGTACAGGAGGGATGGAACCTGACTTGGGTGTTCACAGGCACCCTCTGGCTGCCGTGGGGGACAGTAGACAGTGAGAGGTGAGGACAGGAGCTGGGAGACCAGGCTGGAGGTGACTGACCCATCCAGGCAAGTGATGATGATGATGGAAGGGAGCTGGAGTTGGGTGGTAGTCAAGTGGGGAGAATTTGGGATGAATCATTTAAGACAGATTCAACATTTGCTGATGGAATGGTGTGGGTATAAGAGAGAGGGATGAGCCAAGGTTTTTGGTGAACCCCTTGAGGGATGGAGCTCTCATTCACTGAATGGGCACAGGTTTAGGGGAAGGTCAGAGCTCAGTTTTGGACAGATTGAATTTACCTTCTAAAATACCTCTATCTTTTTTTTTTTTTTTTTTTTTGAGACAGGATCTTGCTTTGTTGCTCAGGCTGGAATGCAGTGGCTTGATCATAGCTCACTGCAGCCTTGAACTCCTGGGTTTAAGCGATCCTTCCACCTCAGCCTCCTGAGTAGCTCCAACTATAGGCACGTACCACCATGCCCACTTAATTAAAACAATCTTGTTTTTGGTAGCAATGAGGTCTCCCTATGTTGCCCAGGCTGGTCTTGAACTCCTGGGTTAAAGCGATCCTCCCGCCTCAGCCTCCCTAAGCATTGGGATTACAGCATGAACCGCCATGCCCAGCCTTAAGATACCTTTTCTTATAAACCCTCAGTTGCATTCATTTTTAAGTGGTTCTTCATTGGTTCATTCATTCATTAGTACATTCATTCTTTCATCTATCCATTTGTTTATTTATTCATTCATTCTTTCACCATTCTTAAATTCATTAGCACATTCATCATTCATCCATTCCTTTGTGTACATCATTCATTTGCTCATCCATTCATCCATCCATTCATTATTCATTTGCTCATTTGTTTCTCCATTCATTCCTCCATTTATCCATTCACCCATTCATCCATCCAGCACGCTTATCAAAACCACCCCACTTGCCAGACACAGGACACAGCAAACACTTCCGAGGAGGCCATTCCTATCAGCAAAATTCTCAACGGAGATTTTGAGTTGGCACCCTAGGGGCCATACCGACTCATACTGGGTTTGTGAAAGCTGAAATTATTGGTCCACATTTAAAAACTGGGAGATTTTCCATGAAAATATGGATTTCAGCTTCCCCTGAATGAAAATAACAGCTGACGTTTACGGAACATTTAGCAGGCACCAGGCACTGCAGGGAACATGTTTTACATGACAAGCTACTTGCTCCTCCTCAGAGTCCTAGGAAGTAGGGACCAGTGTTATCCCCATTTTACAGCCAAGGAAACAGGCTGAGAAGGGTCTAGTAACTGGTCAAGATGTGTCAAGATAGTTCAGAGGGTGTGCTCTGGGCCACCACATTGCACACCTGGGGCATGTGGCCATGAGGCAGGGGCACATTCCACTAGGCCAGGCCCGGTGGCTGTGACCTCCTTACAGGGACGCCTCTCCTTTCTGCAAAGACCATTCCCCTCATGGTCATCACCTTCTCGAGCCCAGGGGCAGCTCCTCATGACCCTGCCCAGCATTTCTGGCCCTAGTCCCTGAAACTCTCAAAGATGTGTCCAGATCTGCAGGTCTCCAAAGGGCTTGGCCAAAAGAAATAAGACCCTTGGGACCTTGGGGGTCAGAGGGGATGTTCCACAGATCGAGAGAGAGAGAGAGACAGAGAGGAAGAGAGGGAGAGAGAGAGAGAGAGACCAACCACAACAGGCAGAAGGTCCCCAGCCCCCACTCCTGCTGGAGCCACACTGAAAACCTGGCTTAATCACCAACCAGCAGATGACCTTGGGCAAGCCACCTTGGTAAAACGGAGACAACCACAGTTCCTACCTCAAAGGGCCATCCAAAGGCATAAATGAATTAATACATCTTAGCATGATGCCTGGTACCTTATGATTATTGGATATAAATCTTCTAGTATAACCTCAAGAGCTGAAATAATGACTAGGTTAATGTGCCAGCCATTGAGAAAGTCCTTCCTGATCACTCAGCCTGGAGACACATCTCCACAACAGGTGTACCCTTCACTGGGAAGGGAGAAGAAAATGAATATTAATTGAACACCTACTAAGTGCTGGACCCCATGCTAGGTACTGTCACTTCTACAGTTGAATTTCATGCTCACTTTGACCCATGTTTCCTTTTTCTATACATTCCTGTCTCTCATTTTTCTCTATGGTCTGGAATTATAATTGCAGATAGTTTCTGGATTTTTAAAAATCATTTTCAAGAGATATTTTATTCAACCCAATACATCCAAAATATTACCATTGCAACATGGAATCAATACTAAGATGGATTCAAAAGATATTTTAGGCCGGGCGCGGTGGGTCAAGCCTGTAATCCCAGCACTTTGGGGGGCCGAGACGGGCGGATCACGAAGTCAGGAGATCAGGACCATCCTGGCTAACCCGGTGAAACCCCGTCTCTACTAAAAAATACAAAAAACTAGCCGGGCGAGGTGGCGGGCGCCTGTAGTCCCAGCTACTTGGGAGGCTGAGGCAGGAGAATGGCGTAAACTCGGGAGGCGGAGCTTGCAGTGAGCTGAGATCCGGCCACTGCACTCCAGGCTGGGCGACAGAGTGAGACTCCATCTCAAAAAAAAAAAAAAAAAAGATATTTTATACTCTTTCTTTTTGTACTAAGTCTGATGTGTTACTATGAAGTATATCTTAGTTCACGGTCAGCCACATTCAAGGGATCAAGAGCCAGTATAACTGGTACCAGTCCGAAATGTTCTTTTCCTTTTTTTTTTTTTTTTTGAGAGTCTCATTCTGTCGCCCAGGCTGGAGTGCAGTGGCATGATCTTGGCTCACTGCAACCTCCGCCTCCCAAGTTCAAGTGATTCTCCTGCCTCAGCCTCCCAAGTGGCTGGAACTATAGGTGCCCACCACCACACCTGGCTAATTTTTGTATTTTTAGTAAAGATGGTGTATTGCCATGTTGGCCAGGCTGGTCTCGAATCCCTAACCTCAAGTGATCTGCCCACTGCAGCCTCCCAAAGTGCTGGGATTACAGGCATGAGCTACTGGACGTCTGGGCCAGTCTGCGATGTTTTATGGTGAGGGAAGGGGTATGTCACCGCCAAGTATTCATCTGGTGATTTCTGGCAATTTGTATACCCTTAAAATTATATGTAAATTGTAATACAGCCATATTTGGCTTCATAAGGAAAACGTGTTCTGAGAAATGCAGTGTTACGCAATTTTGTCCTTGTGTGACCATCCTAAAGTGAATTTACACAAACCTAGATGTTGTAGCCTACTCCACACCCAGGCTATGTGGTTTTTTTTTTTTTTTTTTTGAGACGGAGTCTCGCTCTGTCGCCCAGGCTGGAGTGCAGTGGCCGGATCTCAGCTCACTGCAAGCTCCGCCTCCCGGGTTCACGCCATTCTCCTGCCTCAGCCTCCCGTGTGGCTGGGACTATAGGCGCCCGCCACCGCGCCCGGCTAATTTTTGTATTTTTTAGTAGAGACGGGGTTTCACCATGTTAGTCAGGATGGTCTCGATCTCCTGACCTCGTGATCCGCCCATCTCGGCCTCCCAAAGTGCTGGGATTACAGGCATGAGCCACCGCGCCTGGCCTGGGCTATGTGGTTTGCAGCTCCTCGGCTACAAACATGCCCGGCATGTTACTGTACTTAATACTATAGGCAACTATAACATCATAGTATTTGTGTGTCTGAACATATCTAAACATAGAAAAGGTACAGTAAAAACAGTATAAAAGAGAAAAGATGTTCAGCTGCATAGGGTACTTAGCATGAATGGAGCTTGC